CCAGGGGTCGTACATTGTTTATTATGTATAGGTACGACTTGATTTTTTTTTCAACCAATAAAAAACACTAATAACGATTAGTCTCGTCAAGTACCTACTCAAGTACAAGTATTCAAGTAAGTACTTTAGATACTTTCTTATAGTATCTGTAATTAAAATCAGATACTTATTCATTTTAGTTTATATTATATTATCTGTTTAAATGCTGATCTCTGTTATAAATAAAAATAAAAACTAAGAGTGCATAGTATATATTTTTAATGTTAATTATGCTCAACTGAAATTTCAAAATACTTCGACAAAGAAAACAGATGCGTATTTTAAAGTTCACCAATTATGATGGGAGTAAAATGCTCTATAAAATTAAGGTACAACATGAAAATAATATTTTATGAAATATTTGAAAGTATTTGAAAGAACATAATATTATCTATAAATACAAGTTTTAAAGTACTTGTGTTTGTACCTACTCGAGTTCTTTTTTTTATTTAGTATTAAAATATATATTTTAAATACTTCTCAAAGTAATATCTGTATCTGTATTTAAATGATTTTAAAAAGTATCTCTTACAAGAATATAATAACGATGTTAAATCATACTATTTATAAATTTATACTTAAAATATATGTGTGTAGTGTGTACAACGTATTAATGTCTGTATTTATAATAATAATAATATTATTATTATTATTATTATGATATTTCGTTATCGCCACAAAGTTTTGCAAGTATATCTATCTATCTATATATATGTATATTATAATACATCGTTGATGTTCGTGTATAACCAATAGTTGAATAACATTGTCGGCGTAGACTCCAAGCATTTATTAGTATAACTTTTCATCAACTACCACCGGGAGCTATCGCTGCAAGTTTCCTCCGAAATAAGTTTGCCGTTTAATATTACCCAGGTTAACCGAGTAAACAGTCGACTTGCATGTATTTCGTCTTGGCGGTCACCTTGTTCAAAGTATACCTACCTATATAATACACTGTGCACATGTATTAAAGTGTACATAATATGCAAAAGGATTCCGAGACGAGTATAATTCTGTATACTGTGCGTAAAATTACATTCATAATAGTTTCGGTCACCACAAAATATGTGCTAATTAACCTAATTTAAAATGAACTGTACTGTATTTTTTGGTCATGTTCGATTTAATACATTATACATTGGTGGATAGAACTATGGGTATAGAAAATGTATTAATTTATCCTGATTTAATAGAACATTATGTGTACGAAGACCAAATTAATAACATAAAACATGTTACAATGTTTTAATTAACATGGAATATTCCGATGCATTTCAAAATAAAATCTAAAAAGTTAATTTTCTGCAATATTAAAAAAATATTTTGATCTTGTTTTTTTTTGTTTTTAAACCATTCGCCCATTCGCCTGGAAAAAGACGATTTTCCAAACGCCACGACGGGGGTTGACGGTCGAATATGTAACCCATTTGTTGGCCACCAGCAGGGAACTTGACATTTTGACCGAAATGTCTTTTTGGATACAGATGGACCTCCCCGTGGCCTTTGCGCTCTAATGAATTACTATCGGAGTGTACGAAAACTTCATAGGGCATAGTGTTTGAAAAGGTCAAGTGCTCCTAAGCACTAGACTAATGTATATAAAGCAATGGGGATTTTTATCTCTTTGGCGTCCGTAATTTTTTATGACAGTTTTAAACATCAAAGCAACTCAAATGATAAATAGTAGAACTAAAAGTAATTACTTATGATTTAGTTTAATAATTATAGTAATAATAATTCACAATACTTTTTTAATATCAAAAATAGGGTATTGAGTGATTTTAATTTTAAATAATATATTTAACCACAACAAAACAAAACTTAAAACACTAATTACATCATATGCAAGTATAATTAAAATATTAAGGTATTGCTCTAATAGCGAGGGATATTTTGTTTTTGTTTCGCTTATCCCGTGAACAAGGCAATTTTGAAGCAGATGTTTGTTGTGACTTATTTCCCTGGTATGGGCTTGGATAAGGGTGAATACTATAATTTAGAATCAGTTGGAAATTAGCTTAACACTCGTAAAGGGACATATAAGACATATTAAAACAAAATATTATAATATTATGTGGGTACTCTTGAATTTGGATCACATCCACTGAACAGACTTTGTATCATTTGGTTGTTCGCCAAGAAACCTGAGGACTCCCTAAAAATTAACTCGATTCCATGTGTACACTACGCGCATATAGACCTCTAAACAATTTTAGTCGCGTCCTCTTTTTCATCGTTTTTCTTTCATTTTTTATTTTTTTATTTGATTAACGGGCCGAAGCGAGAATTTAAATCATACCGAGCACGTAAGGAGCCAAACATTTCTTTTCCATTTCCGTCCCGAACCGTCTCCAACCCCAAAGAAAAAAGGATCGCTGTCTCAAGGGACCCGTAGCTAAATATGTAAAAACAACTGTCCCAGAATCAACTCGCTTTCTCCGCGAACGTTTTAAAGTAAAATAAAGAACAACTTAAGAAAAAATAAAATACTTATAGATAGTTAAAGGTGTTTGTTTTCTTTTTCTAATCAAATAATATGATGATATTTGTATTGATGATAAAATGAATCAACTCGCGAAAATGAAGTGTCAAAAAAGTATCAAAACAAAACAAAGAGACTTACTAACTTGAAAATGTGATTGTATGGGCGAGAAAAAGGGAATTATTATTCTAATATATTTGATTTAAATAATAATTAAAATGCAAAACAGCGATGAAAAGACAAAAAAATCATTTTAAATTACTTTTTTGTCATCTTAGTCTGTCCCTTGAAATAATGATAAACGGATTTTCAAGGTTTTGGATTTAAAACAATTTGACAAATTATGCTCAAAGATAAAAGTTAGACGAGGACAATGTACAAAGACAAATTTTATTATTACCATTATTATTATCATTATTTAGCTTGGTTATTATAATTTTTTTTTAGAATGATAAAAGTTGTCACTACTCACAAAACATGGCATGACGAACTTCAATGTAATTTTAGATTTAAAAATATAACTCTTCAGTCTTCACTATAGTGACATTAATTATTGTCTGGCTTTTCGCGCATTTTTTTAAACTAAAATTAAACATTGTTAACGTTTTTTCTTTTCGAACAAAAGTTGTAAGAAGGTTAATATGTGTACAAAACACATTTAAAAATGACCGGTATGACAAAATTAGAAACTAAAAAAAAAATTATTGAAAACCAACTCCAGAAATTTAAATAAAATAAAATAAAAATAATTTGCATACGAGCAAACATTATATTCATACATTGTTTATTTATTAAGCTTTTTACCTTGTATTTTTTTTTAAATATTTTATTTCTATGTTTATTTTACCAAAAATGTTTAATCATTTTTAATATTCGTAAAAAATGAATTTAAAAGCTTTTTGTTCACGAAAAAAATATTAATATAAATTGTTAAATGAAAATATTATAATCCATAATTTAGATAAACAAGCTGGTTTTAATGCATTTTTGAAAGAAATATTTAAAACCCTTTAGTTATTCAAAAACAAACAGAATGTTATTAATATTAGATCTTACAAATAATGATATCATTAATACATAACATGCGCACTTAAAGTTTTTAAGTTCAACTTTTGGTCAATAAAACCATGTTGATGTGTACTTTTTATTATAAGAATTATTTATAATGTATAGTAATGTACAATTATGTATATAACGTAGTAACGAATTACTTTTTTTCGTTAGGACTTCAGTGGTGGCAGCCGTGTAGAATATGGTCGCGATTCAGAATTCATTGTTACCATAAGTCATAAGTGTGACGTCAGAACGATATTTTTGGTGAGAAATATGTGTGTGTGTGTGTGTGTGTGTTAGTTACGACGAGTTTGGACGTTGGCGTAGGAGAGACAGCGGGGTAGTACGTCGGTGGCGCACGTAAACCTTTGTGAGCGGTGGCAAGTAAAGAATCGCGCACAGGGCCACTTTAGCGAGTACAACTTTTCGGATGCCATGCATGTGGCGAAGTACGGAAAGGCAAAGGGTGTATGTACGGCGATAGGAGGGTGTCGGCGATAAAATAAATTACAGGCGTCCATAAACAAAAGGCGTTCTCCCCGTCATTGTTAAGGGCCTCTTATTTGTCATTTTATGGGTATTGCACGTCATAAAAGTAAAAAAAAAAAAAAAATACCAGGACGGAAAAAGAGACCTTTGTGCGGGGAGTGTAAGGGAGACGAAAAAAATATATACAAAACGTACCTCCTCGTGATAACATAAGGTGGCGGTGGCCCGGTTGGTTGGTAGTGACGTTGAGGTGGCGGAAGGGTTGCTGCAGCAAAAGGGGTGGTTGGAAGAATTTTACCGTTGCCAAAACCGCGAACGCGATGTATATATATTTATATTTCACCCACCTAGTGTATTGGTGCGGGGTAAACCGACGGATTCCATCCGTGCCAGAGGACAAAATGTTTTTTAACCACACACACATACAGATCGATTAACGACGCGTACCCAACACGCAAAACTCGGAGACGGTGCCAAACGCTTTTTACACGAACGGACCCGACGACCGCGACAAGCCAAAGTTTGAAAAAAAAAATAGCCGAAATACCAAAAAATGGAAACCACGCAGTAGGTAGGTAGACACTTTTGAAATATATCATTTAAAATTTAGGACCTTTGCGGTCCGATATTGCACCACAATCCAACAATTACCACGGCGGTTGACCGAGGCAAAAAAACACTGCATTATCACGGCCCTGTGATAAGCTGATTTTTACTGAAGGTCATCCCTAATTAGTAATTTCCTTAAAAATAAATCCGCAGAAATAGGCGGACGTAGTTAATGCCTACGAGGTATTATACTGGGCCATACAACTTGAGCGGCATTGATTACGATGGTATTTTACGGCGTTTCGTCTTATCCATATAACAACACTAATATAGCATACCTATACTACTATACTATTATAAATAATGTCTAAAACAACGGACTTACCGGAAGAGTGGAGTGGCGTGGTGGCCAGAAGCAGGTCGATGGTGCCGTCGGTGAGCACCTCCGCCGAGTCCTGGTAGCTGATGGACAGCGTGGCCGTGTCCGTTTGTCGGGACATCTTGGACAGCATGGACGCGGGCAGCTCGATGGTCTCGTCCGTCTCGCGGAGCTGTAGGGTGACAGTCTGTCCGTCCGGACCAGCGGTGCTGTACATGAACACCGCCGTCTGCTGGGGCATGGCCGACGCATAGCTGCTCTTCAACGGCACCCGGATCCCAGGCAACCCCTATTTTCCGGAAATACAAAGATGTCGGTCAGAGGGTATTTTGAGAGCCGACAACGGCGTTTTAGGGGTCACGCGATTCGTGGGAATTAATATATTTCCATCGCTCCGAGTCACCACTTCACGGTATGTATATTATGGTTATAATACCGAAGAGCGCAAGATATGAGAACATATAAATTAGAACATACCCGCGAGTGCCCGCTCGGATAATGCGTACCCGGGCACCCATCCGTGCACATATTCGATGCCGGGTCAGTAAATACAGTGATGCCCACGTGACCACTAGCTCAATGCGCTGCGCTCGGACAAAAAAAAAACGAAAATATCTCTAGACATACTATATGGAACATCACCACGAGTTAGGTCACACAGGGTATAACCGTCGTCTACTCTTCTAATTTTCTCTTATAAGTCATAATAGCACCCGTTTATTTAGACACAATGTTATTTTAATTGCACACATACTAGATTGACTAATCTAATATAATTGTATTGATTATCGTTGTAGTATGGTCTCATAATACCATATATAGACTATTTTCGGAAATAGCTTTATGGCATAGAGAAATAATACCTTATGTTCGGTTATATGGAAAAAAAATATTAAGAATCGTAATGATTTCATCAAAATATATACATTGACCCGGTCGGGATTTTCTAAAATAAAACGAGTGTCAAAACACCACGAATCGTAATTTGTCAAAACGTCATCCATCAGCTAATATAATACGTGTGTGTCGGGACGGTCTATTTTTTTTCGAAATGTCAACTGTTCCGCATTAATAGTGTTGGAAACCGGACAACATGAAAAAATCACAATTACGCACCTTCAAAATACTTATATTATTTTTTTTTACAGACGAGTACAGTGCGTAATGATAACGGCATATATATGGAATACATTTCGGTTGCTCGACTGGCCCAAAAAAAGACCGAGTAGAACACCGCACCGGGCCACACGAAAAACATAACACAGGAGAAAAACATTTTATACACATTTTTCTGAACGATCAAACACGTACACCTAAATATTATACGATCTCTAACTTTTGGTCGCGAGTGTTACGACACTGCATACGAATTGTGTTCGTCCGGTATCGAGAGAGTTTAAAGATAGTCGGTACACATAATATTGTATTAGTGAGAGATAATATTATAATACCGTCTCGGAAAGCATTTATTTTATGACGTGTCGTTATACTGCTGTAGTGCGCACTCGAGTTCCAAATGCCGTAATACACAGACAGGGCAACGTTATGATTGCTTTTGTTACTAATAAAACTATTATTGCGCTCGCGGTATGATAATATCTAATAATATTATTAGAAGTGTCGCGCGCGCGCAATTATTGGAGTCGCCCTGATTGTGTTGCGCGCGGGTTGCATATTATAACGTTATGCGGGTAAGTTTCGTTTGGCCTCCGAGACCGACTCGATCGGTGAATTAAAGCCGAAACAATCGGTTCCCCGTCAACCGGAGCCGCGGCGCTCACTGCGCTCGTCATCGGCGCGCGCGCCCGGATAATCGAATTCGGCGTGCCAACTCCACGCGCGCCGCCGCCACCACGGCGGTAGATAAGAAGCTCAACGGTTACGTGCTTAATTTGGGTTTGGAAACTTAATAGTTTCCCCCGGCGAAGTTTTCTCTCGGAAATTACAAGGATTTAATGCCAGCCGAGGGAACGGACGCAGGTGAACGATGATTTATACAGTAACCATGGTAACCGCACAACGGTCGGACCGTCTCCCACCGCAACATACTCTCATACACACACACACACGCACGCACCGCTACCGCTACCACTACCACAACCACCACTACCATCTCCACCGCGATCGCACACGACCGTGATCCAACTTTGCATGAATCAGTGTCAGGGCCCGCGATACGTTTCAGTGCAATGCGCATAGGTCGCGGCCACCGCTCACATTTCGCTCTCGCCGCCGTGTCGGACCCGCCACAACCCTTGTGAGAGTTGTATTGGTCAGAAAAAAAAAAAGAACAATTTTTAACCTCACGCGGAAACCGTTGTTTTTTTGACGGTGGCTAACGCAGGATTCCATCTGATTCTGGAAATGTTCACCGCGATCGTCGTCGGCGAAACAAGTAAAACATAAAAGAAAACAGTACACTCGTCCCATGGAGGTGTTGTGATTTTTCGTCGTCGCCGCCCCGTTCTAGTGCGCACATTGCCCACCCAGTGCGGCTTTCTGGTCCGTAGCCTCGGAGCGCGCGATCATGAAGGTCACCACGGCATGCAAACGTTTCGTTTACGTTCGAAAATTATTATTATAGTCTATGTAAGGCAGTACCTCGGCGTCACACGTATCTTATAATATTATTGTTGTGCAATTATTGCATCTTTCGTCGTCGCCCTCCCGCCTCGGAAGGTATATTTAGGTAGTTGGGGCTCGCGTAATAAACTTATAATGCATTTCAGGAGACCCCCAACAAGTGTCTACGTGGCATATAATATTATTATTTATTTTATAATATGTACCTGCACAGCCGGCTTGAAAATATACTTGAAGTCACGGGGCAAAGGTGACTGCAAATGTCGGCGGTGGCGTCGAAGTCGTGATGGTAATTCAATCGATACGCGCGATTTAAGCCTCGCGAACCGTTGAACTCGTTTCTTCCGTTTTTTGATATTGACTGAGACGTATAATACCTGATTATTGTCGTCAGAATGTCACGAATCTCCGCCATCGCGCAGTTTGTCAACACAATAGTACTCACGTTGTTTTCCGTAATATTCACTCGCGATAGATTATAACATAGTAAAATACGTCGCGGTAATCGAGAGGAAACGTTATTAATAATATGCCACGTCCAAGTCAATCAGCGACGGCGAGAAACGGTTAGCTTAAAACAATATTAATGTCAAATAATAATAATGTTTTTGTCGTTATAAAAACGAGATACTCGACATCACTGCCGCTGCGTGCACAATTTATAGTAGGTAATTGGAATGTCGGTTTTTGGAAAACGTATAAAAATAAATCGTAAACTATCGTGTTATTTCGATTATTGAGCAAACCCATTAAAACAGGGTAGGACATATAGATATTTAGATTATTGTATATTGTCGTAAAGACAGGCTACATCACTGTATTTTTTTGGTGAAAACAGCCTAACATCACTGCGAGATGTAAGTTGTTACGCCGCTCGTAGAGTGATAAGCACTTGTCCGAAAATGATAAGAGTATAGTTATATCTTTCTACCGGCAGCACTGGTTTTCCAGCAGGTGTTGCGAATCTATGCCCCATAAGAAACCATGTTAAACTCAAAAGGTGTTCTTCCGGCTTTTCTGCGGTTATACGGCGGTTGCCCTGTGACCAACTTGAGGGGGTGTAGTTGCACAGCAAGTCGAGGGATATTTTCGTTTTTTTTTTGTCCGAGCTCAGCCGAGTGGCCGCGCGGGCATCACTGGGCAGACGTCACAGTAAATAATTTCAAGTTTTGAGTCATTGATTGCTCGTTGGTATATGATAGTATAAGTTGTGATATAAACTTCTTTATCAATATTTGGACAACTGCGCCTTACTCATTGTACGGCGAGAACATCGAGCCGCGAACGACTGTTTATAGTAAGTCGATGGTTCAAAATACGAAAGGTGTAACACTTATTATAACATTTGGTATACCCGCGTTTGAAATGGGTATAGTTATAATAATACGTAATCGATTTCACGAAAATATTAATGGGAAAACGGTCGTTCGGGGCGATATGAAACAAACACAATTTGAATGTAAGGTAGGTACGTTATAACTTTTAATGTATACGTGTATCGTGTATATATTGTATGTAATATATATATAAAAAAATAACAGTCGTGTTTATGTATGTTTTATTAGACCACTCTATGTATCGCTGTGTGTAGGGTAATGGGTCAAGTTTTTCGGAGTCGAGAGCGTTCCATAATAATGACGGGTGCCGTAAAAGTCATCCGTCATAACTGTCACGCGGTGTTTATATATATATATATATTATAATAATGCCAAGTGTTATAAAACACAAAATATACATTTTCCAAGAGAAATATAAGCTCTGCTGGGTCTTTTTACAATCGTTCACGAAATATACGTCATCCAAGCCGAGTGTTTTTTTTTAAAAATATGTTTATTTATAACTCGTCATTCTTCAAATATTTTGTGCGCTTGTTTTATTATAGTCGCCACCGGCAGTCTCTTATTGCACCATATCAATTATAATAGTATATAATGCAATATACAATCTTATGGGGACGACACGATCGTGTGTGGTTCTTTCATTCTTCGAGAAAGAAGCGACGTGTATATTATTTTATATTATTGTGTTGTTGGGGATCGAAAACGAAATGAAAACGTATATACGAATGACGGCAATAATGTCCTCAGAGGCAATATATTAGCCGCGGCTCGGCTGCAATTTAGAAGAACTAGAAGAGTTATTATATATATTATATATATTGCTACCGCGTCACCAGGACTTATTCGTTCGTATAATATGACTTACGAGCGAATGTCACCCGGCTAGAATGATTTCCGCGGAGACCAATATAATAATAATAATAATAATAATAATACATTGTCCACGTGTCTCGGAGTCAGTTTCGATCAACTTCATTCTTGAGTTATTCGTTAATAATACGAATTCATGAATGAATTCGGTTCTATGCATACATTTCCGTGGCATATCTAATATAGGTAGTACTATATGATATTATGCTCACAAATATAATTCTAGCCGTATACGCCGAATTGTGAAAATAATTATTAGTCAGACAGCACAACAGCGTTGCAGTATAGACACTTAGTCGAGTTGATATTGTATAGTTAAAGTGTATAGTGACTGTGTGAGAGTATGAACATCATTTGTCAAAAAACATCGAAACTGTTAAACAGATATGCAGAAAATGATTTTCCTCCGTCGGAGAGTAGTAAACCGACATACAGTTAGATGTAAACTGTTTTTTACTAAAAAAAAATTGTTGTGCATTGTGTTATATAAGATATT